GAGGGCGAATCCTGGACTGGCACCTCTTAGCGGCTGGCCCTTCAGATCAGGTGACCCCGAAACGTCCCTCTCCCTGCAGCCTTTCTGGGTGCCTGGAGGAGGCCGGCTGGGGCCGCGGTGGAGATCAGAGGCTGACCCCTCCACCGGGCAGTGAAGTCTTCTTGCGGGGAGGAGCTCTGGAGACGGACAGAAGGAGCCAAACTGGAGGATGGCGCTTTCTGACCACAAATAGGGGACTCACCAGCATCACACTGGCTTCCCAGTGAATGTGAGCGGTGCTTGGAAGTGGGGTGGCAATAAGCCATCTCCTGGTGGTCTCTCATCCCTCTCAGCCAAATTATAGCTTCAGTGGAGCGACTAGGAAACCTGCCCCAGTAAATGCAGAGGCCTTCGTTTCTTTATAAACACGGTTGGGAAGTTGCCCGTGTGCTTTTTGCTGTTAGTTGAATTATGCGCACGAGCATTCGTGTTGAGCTGTTCATCAACAACTGAGAAATAACTTCTTAAAAAAGTATGGAAATGGAAGTATTTCTCCTGCTTTCTGTTTTGGAGTTTCCTTATTCTGTGTGTTTGAAAATCATTAATCCTGCTTAAAAAAAAATCTCAGTAAAATGTATAATAAAAACGGGTCCGCAAAACGTATCTCTATGTGTGCACATCAGATGTTATATTACTTTTCATCACGGAGTAGCATTTATTTATTCCAGGCCAACGCTTTTCTTGAATCGGCCAATTCCCGCACGTCTCCTAAACTCTCCTTTGTCTTCCAGCCAGAGTTTGGCCAAGACCGTGGTAACAGCGCGGGTGAACGGAAGCCTGTATGACTTGGACCGTCCTCTGGAGGGTGACGCCACCATGGAATTTGTGGGTTTTGATTCGCAGGCTGGGCAAGAGGTGAGGCGCAAGGAAACGGCGCGTTTATTTGGGAAAGAGAAAAGGGGGCGGGCTGGGGTGGCAGTCTCGGTCTCAGCGTGCAGAGCTTTGGTCTGTCCAAATGCACCTTTTCCCTCTAAGAAAATTGGCATCCTTTTCTAGCTGAGTGCAGAAGGACAGTTCCAAGAAAAGTCTGGCGGAAGGAGGCAGAATTGCTCCCAAACCCAGTTTTCTCCTGTCCGTCCATCCATCCATCTCTCTTGGCAAGAATAACGCAGCAGGCTGACTCTGCCCAATGCCCCCAGGGGGGTCTGGTGCTCAACCCTCTCTCTCTCTCCACATTTCTCCCCCAGCTCTTCTGGCATTCCAGTGCCCACCTCCTGGGGGAGGCTGCTGAGCGCTTCTATGGCGCCCTCCTGTGCCACGGGCCCAGCACCGAACAGGGCTTCTTCTATGACGTCTACTTGGACAAGGAACGGTAGGTGGGAAGTGGAAGGGTTGGATGGGGCACCAAGGACCCCGAGAGGAGCTGGGTCTGCTTTGCCGGAGGCGTCTGAGGAGATGCTGGTCTGTTCTTCTCCGGGAGGCTTTCACTGGCATTTCTGCCCCGAGCAGGGGTTGGTCTGGATGGCCTCAAGGGCATCCACATTTCATTACAAGGGTCCAGCCCTCCCTTCAGGATGAAGGTGGCCAGGATGTGGGGAGAAAGGACACTTTGCCATCTCGGTGCCACCACTGAGCCGGCTGGCTCTCGGACCGCTCCTCTGCCCCTGCGCGATGGCACGAGGACCGGGCAAAATCACTGGGGGAGCCTGTCATGCTTGTAATGCCCACCAGGTGTCCTCGCAGGCTGAGCTGTGAATTGGGTGCGCTCTCGCCCTGCCTCTAGATTGGCTGGTGATCCTGGGCTGTCCCAGCAGGGGGCAGCCTTAGCTGAGCATGAACAGCTGAGCGGGGGCAGACTTGAATGGGAGACCACCTGGAGATCCCCAAGTTATAGACTCGGCGAGGAAGCCAAACAAATACCATAGCAAAGATGAGGAGGAGCTGATTCCGTATCGGTACCCAGAAAACTGCCCCCCTCTTTCCTGGCTGCTACCCTTACCGGCTCCATTTCCTCCAAAGCCCCACTTTTTATTCCCCCCCCCCCCCGTATCTTCCCATCTCAGGAAGGTGTCCAGTAAAGACCTGCCCGCGCTGGAAGAGATCTGCAAGGCCACCGTGGCAGCCGAGGCCCCTTTTGAGCGGCTGGAAGTTTCCCGAGAGGATCTGATGGAGCTGTTCAAGGTAGGTTCCCTTCAAGCCGGGTCCCCTGATGGGAGTTGTAGTCCATCCCTCTCGGAGGCACCAGGGGGAGAAAGACAGCCTTCAGCCAAGTCCTCAGGTCTTGTGAGACGGACTTTGGGCCGGAGGACAGATTCTGAGTTGGTTGTTTTTCTGCACCAAGGCTGAGGTTCTTAAGCTGGGCCTAACTGCCAGGCAAGGGAATTCTGCCTATTTTGGGAGTTCAAGAATTTGGCATCCCCCCCCCAAATTGGAGCTATTCTCTATTTGACACAAAGGCCAGCTTGGCAGAACTGCTTCCTAAGCCTTTGAAGGCATATCGCCAACGGTCGCTGCTTCTGCGCTGGAATTTCCTGGCCCATATTTTAATCTCCTAAATTAAGATACCCGGGGAGAGGAACAGGTTGCTCCAGGTTCTGATGGCTGACACAGTTTTTGAAACGGGAACAACGGTCCTCCGCCGCCACAGGATGTGGGAAGGACCTGAGGTCTAGAAGAGCAGCTTCCTCAGAGACTCTTAGTCACCGTGGCCCAATGGAGCCTCTGTTGCCAGGAGCAGTATACCTCAAGGGCCAGTTGCTGCGGGGATGGTTCGGCTGTTTGGGAAACAGGAAGTTGAGCTAAGGAGGCCGATGATCTGAGCTAGCAGGATTGTTTGTCACAAAAACAGCTCTGCTGCCAAGGGTGACAGATGGCCTGCAGATGAACAAACATGTTCCGTGGGTTGATTCAGAGAACTGCATTGCAGTTTCATGTGTTTGTATTTTCAAATTATCCCCGGCGCGTCCATCCAAAACGCTGCTTATGACAACCAGCAGTCATAAAAACAGGACCTGAATTGCCATTAAGTGAAGATAAACCTGTAATTAAGGTGCAACTAAAAATAACACAGCAGTTAATTAGAACCCTCTTTGGCAGCCGAAATGGCCTAGTTTCAAAAGCTTGCTTGAATGGGAATGTCTTTACCTGTGGAAGAGCCACGGAGAGGGATCGAGACTAACCTCTAGCGGCAGGGAGTCCCAAGGCCTGCGGAGCAGCTGCGGAGAACTTTAGGAAGTTTTTCGCGGGAGTTTGAAGCGGAGCCTCCATGTCTAAGAGCAGCATGCTGCCTCTGTAGCTTCCTTGGGAGTCTCCTGGGTAGTTTAGAGGCGGAGATCTTGCCCAGGGGTCCAGTCCGGCAGGGCTGGTCTCAGATAACGTGCCCAAGAGCGCTGCTTTCCGACAACCCCGACACAGCCGAGGTCCAGCTGTGATTTATTTCAAGGTCCGTGTTTATTCCAAAGCGTCCATTTCCCTAAACGCTGCAGGGCCCGTACCGCTTTCCAGCTGTTCTCCCACCGGCAACGGAGACACTTTAGAGAAGCCCCAGAATGAGTCATCCCTCTTTATGTAAACAAACACTTGAAATTGCAGAGGATTTGTTATTTACTTCAGCCACATTTACTAAAGCAACTGGCAGATATCGGTGGGGCGTGGTATCTGCTGCTTTGTTTTCAGCCCCTCAGAGGTACATCGTGCGAGGAAAAAGGAGCAGGTGTGGAGGAGGAACACACCGGCAGCTCTCCTGAAAATCACAGCTCTGGGCATGGGATGGGAAAGGGGAACATGGAACGACGCAAATGAGCAGGGCTCCATCTGGCTCGTTGCCTTTGAGGCGGTGGAAAGGATGTTTCTGAATTTTCAACTAGTTATAAAATAAATTAAGGAGGGTGGGGGGTAAATGTTCTCCCCAAATTTCCGGGCCCTTCAGCAGCCCAGTTTACAACAGATTTCTCTTGCTGCCGTTCCAGCATAACCGATTCAAGCTGGAGATCATCAAGCAGCGGGTGAAGTCTCCGACCGCCACGGTGTACAGGTGAGCCAGGCCCTGCCTTAACCTGTGGCACGTGGGGAGGAGGGGGGTGCGGTGCCCAGTGGCCCAAACCCGGATCTGCAGCTCCAGAGGATCTCCCCAAGTCGCTTTAGCACCCTCTCTGGATTGGCTCGCTTGTTGGAGTTACCTACAGGCCTGTTGCTTTTGCCCGCGCCGGGCAGGGCTCAGCTTCTGCTGTAAAAGAGTGGGGCTTCTTTTCAGCCCAAGATTACCCCCAGCTGCTTTCGCACCTTTCTGTGGACGTCATCAGAAGGCTGCGGACGGGCTTTGGAGAAGGCTGGTGGGCAGACGGCGTCCCCTCCCCGTTTAAACCTAGCCCTGGGTATCTGGAAACACTCCGGCGTGCGTTGTAGCAAATTCTGCCAGGGCATCTGTTCATGAGGCCTAGAAACCTGAGCCGCGTTCGGATGGCTTCTTTTTCAACAACAGCTGTAATTCTCGTGAATTTGGCAGCGGCTGTGGTGGGATTACAGCTGGAAGTTGGGTTTATCGGCGTAAACCATTGAGGAACTCCGTCTGCCTGGCTTCCGCATGGCCTGATCCAGCTTCCTCTTTTCTGCGCGTAGGTGTGGGACGTTAGTCGACCTCTGCCAGGGGCCCCACCTCCGGCACAGCGGGGAGGTCCGAGCCCTGAAACTGCTCAAGGTTTGTCCCCCCTGCAAGAGGAACGTATCCGAGAGGTTTTCCAGCACGGGCAGGGCATTAAAATGCTCCGGGCCCTTCTGAGTTGCAAATGGGATTTAATTTAAAAGCGTAGGAAAAAAGGCATGGGGTGGGAGACGTTTTATTGTGAACCGTCCAGAGCGCTTCCGCAGTTGAGTGTTTAAAACGTTTAATAAAAAAGTAAATTAAGTAAAAATGCACTTAACTGCCCAGTGCCTTCAACCCTCCCTTCCATCATCAGAGAGAGGTTTCCTCCAGAGTGGCTTTCCCCATAAAGATGCAGGATGATGGGGACTGTAGTCCCTCCGTTTGCAGCTGGGTCTTTCCCCGCCCTCTCTGGAGCATGGAATTGGGGTGCCTGCTGTGGGTAACTCTGGGGCTTGCTGTGTGGCAGAAGCAGCCGAGCGGGCAGGCCCCTGGCCCAGCCAGTCCTGTCCAGAGGGGCACAGTCCCCAGGTGCCCCCTCGGAAGGTGCCACTCACCCTCCTTCTCCTCGCTTGGCAGAACGCTGCCTCCTCCTGGCAGGGAGACCCCTCCAAGGAGACCCTGCAGCGCATTTATGGCATCTCCTTCCCGAGCCCTCAGCAGTTGGCAACATGGGAACGGGCCCAGGAAGAGGCTGCCCAGCGGGACCACCGGCGCATCGGAAAGGTGGGTGCCCTCGGTGCTCCCAAGACAGCCCCCGCCCCGCAGAGAGGGGCTCCCTGGCCATTGAGGAGTGCCCCGAGAGGTCTGCCAGGAGTGCGGGGCTGGGGGCTCTCCAAGGCTCGCTGGAGCAGGAGCAGAGGGGAAACTGAGCTCTGGCAGCATCCGAGAACTGCGGCTCGGTCGGCCATCGTTAGTGCATCTTGGACAGTTGAGGGGCAATTCCTGCACAGCTGAACTCTGTGAGAACTGCCCTTCCCATTTCCTGAGCTCTCTCTGGAACATGAGGACTAGAAACCTGGGGTGGCATCTTTAAACAAAGAGGGAGATTTTTAATAACATTCCTTCCTGACCCGGCTTCCGTTAGGACCGTGGGCCATGGCCGTTCCTGGCCTGGGGACTGCTGGTGTTGAACTTAGGGGTGAAATTTAGGGGTTTTTTTGGTAAACTGGGGTTACTCTTTGCATGCTTTCTAAGCAGTGAACTCGGGATTAGCTGCTCAGGGGCTCCGTCCTTTTGATTTCTCGCCAGGACCAGGAACTCTTCTTCTTCCATCAGTTGAGTCCCGGAAGTTGCTTCTTCCTCCCCAAAGGGACCCTCATCTACACCACCCTCATGGACTTTATCAAGGTGTGTCAGGGTGTGTGTCTGTGCCCATCGCTTACTGCTTCCCTGGCTGCGGCTCGAGCGACCCGCACGGAGAGCAGAGGCCCTGCTCTCGGAGGTGGACTGTGAACCCCATCTCCCGCCAGGGGCCATTCGGGCCAAACTCTCCTGGGCAGCCAGTGGTACCAAACAGGCCAGAAGTGGGACTTTTCAGCCGGGGGCGGGGGGGATACAATAAAATAACGCCCATCCCGGCGGATGGAAAAGTCGGTCGTTGGTCTGGCGGGCCCTCTCGCTCTCACGCTTCTGCGGAAAGGGCGTCTTCTGGCCTTCCGGTGGGGCTGAGAGCGGTAGGAGGGGAGCGGCCTTCGGTGCGTCGCTTGGTTTCGGAAGGCGCAACTCGCGGATGATTTAATTTGGCTGCAGCCCGCAGAGTTTTCGTAGAGCAAACCGTTCGCGCCGGCTGCTCGCACGGGGACCCGTCCCCATCGGAATCATTCGCCGTGGACGTTCTGGGGGAAGCGCGTCTCCGAGGCGTTTGCTTTTGCAAGATTAACTCCACGTATGTGGAAAGATACCGTCTTGGATCGGTGCGGATTTTAGATAAACCAGCAGCAGGCGGAAGCCGGGGTTGTGTCTTGCGAGTGCCGTTAAAATCAGAGCGTTCGCCCACACGCGGGGCGTTGCTCAGACGAGCCCATTTCTTTCCTTTCCAGAGCGAGTACCTGAAGCGAGGCTTTTCTGAAGTGATCACCCCCAACATCTTCAACGCGAAGCTCTGGGAGACCTCTGGGCACTGGCAGCACTACAGCGAGAGCATGTTTTCCTTCCGCGTGGAGGACCAGATGTTTGCTCTCAAGCCCATGAACTGCCCCGGCCACTGGTGAGTTGGGGGGCCGGAGAGGCGGAAGAGCCGGGTCCGAATCAAGACCCCAGGGCGGACGTGGAAATCCCACCGGCTTCTGGAATCGGGGAGCAGGAGGGCCTCTGGGCACGTGCCGGCCCCCCGGGAGCTGAG